GGGTTCCTTGTCCCTCACATTCCCTCTAGCATTTGTTACTGATTGATTTCCTCATAATAACTATTCTTTCTGGGGTGAGATGATTGTTTTAATTTACATCATTCGAATGACCAGTAATGTTGAACATTTTTTCATATATTTACTTGCTGTTTGTATTTCTTCACCTGAGAAATGGGTATTCATCTCAGATGCCCATTTTTAGATTGGGTCTTTAAATTTGAGGGGTCTGATTTTTTTTTTTTTTGAGTTCTTTATACATTCTCGATAGCAATCCTTTGTCAGAGGAACAGCTGGCAAACATTTTTTCCCCACACTGTGGGTTCTGCACACTGTTGGTAGTTTCTCTTGCTGTGCCAAAGCTTTTTAATCAAGTGAGATCCCAGCTATTGAGTCTTTGTGATAGTTCCTGTGCAACTGGGGTTTTGTTCATAAAGTCTTTACCTACACCAATGTCAAGAAGACTACATATAGTTTAAAGTTAAACTCATTCTTGCTTAGGTAACATTATTATCAAAATTAGGTCAATATTGGAAAATACATTTTCTTTTCAATGAATATTATTCACTGCCTCATAGGAGTCTCAAAAGATGACTCCTGAATTTGATAATTTTTAGGATCCAGTTGACCAAGTACAGGGAATAGAAGGGGAGAATATATAAGAGGCATAGTGGAGGTGTAACTCAGGACACTATTGTTGTTTAAAAGAAATTTTTTCTTTAATGAATTGGAGGGGGCTGGGAATATAGCTCAGCAGTACAAGCGCCTGCTTGGCAAGCGCGAGGTCCTGAGTTCGATTTCTGATACCAAAAACAAAAAACAAAAAACCAAAAAAACCCCACAAATGAAGTGGAGGGGGAAACTAGATTTTTAGGAAATGTCGAAAACATAGCAACCTACAATATATTTGGACATGGGATTAAAAATTAAAATGAGGTGAGAAAACAATTTAAAATGTTTGTGAGAAAATGGGAGGTTTGAATGCTGTCTGGGTGATTAATGATGTTGAGGAATCACCGTTTTGTGGTGGTTGCTCTGTGTGATATCACGGTCTGATTGCTAATGAAGGGAATGCCCTTGTCTTTGGGGGTACACACTGAGAAACTTACAGATGATAAGAAGCTCGTACTTTCCTTAGGATAGCAGTAAGAAGATAGAGTAAAGCCTGTGTTACAATAATAATTTTTAAAACTCGCTGTTATTAGTCCTTCTAGGTTACATTCTTGGAAAGCGTGTGCCTGAGATATAAGATAAACATGATTTATAAGAAAATAGCAACAGTAAAGGACGCTAACGAAATTTTATGCTTTTTCCAGGAGCCTGATGTCTGTGTTATTGTAAGAATATGAACACATATGTCAAGTTTAATCAACTGCAAATGATAAACTCAAATAGTATAAAAGCACTTCAATTTCTAGATAAATCAAGTTAAAAAGGCAAAACCAAAGCTAAAACACATGATTCTATTTTGGCAAATTCTGATGTATCTTATCTGCGCCTGATGATGGCTAATTCTGTGTTGGTTAAGGCTCTAAAACTATGGGCCTTAGGTAAAATCTGTCCTACCATCTGTTCTGGTGAGGCCCTGGAGCTAAAAATGGTTTTTATATTTTTAAATGATTGAAAAATGTCTAAAGGAAAATAGCAATTAGTGACATTTGGTAACTGTATGAAATTCTAACTTAAATGACCATTATATAATTTAACTTGAACACAGCTATTAATATTTATTTACCATTTTTGCAAATAAAATTTTATTGGAGTCTATGCGTCCATTTGTATATATATATATATATATATATATATATATATATATATATATATTTGTTTTGGTTTTTCTCCGGTACCGGGAGCCGAACTCACGACCTTGCGCATGCCAGGCAGGCGCTTTTTGCCGCTGAGCTAAACCCCCAGCCCCCATTTGTATATTGTCTATGGCTGCTTCCAACTTAGCACAAGTGATGAATAATTATACCAGAGATTGTATGGCTTGCCAAGCCTGAATTATTTTTCCTCTGACCCTTTACAGAAAAAGTTTCCCAACCTAGATAAACAAATTGAGCCCTGGAGGTATGAAGTGTCTGGACTAAACCTGCACAGGTTTTGAGGGTAGAATCACAACTCACACTTAGGTCTTCGAACTCCAGCTTTTCTTAATCTTGGGTGTGATTTTTCCTCTAAATTTGTCCCATTGAAATAACAATGTTTTCTACTCATATAGTGCTCATTATCTTTCTAATGTTCTTTAAAAATTTTTTTCACCATGTTTTCACCGTTTTAATTTTTCAAAGAATTTTTTATTAGTACATGTGTATGATAAATAATGAACACATTCGTTGTGGGAGTTGATACATAAATGTATCACATCTCGTCTTTTTCTTTCTGGCATTCCTGCACATATTTATATTAAATCTTTTAATCATCATAACAATCTGTAAGATAGATATTATAATTATCTCTCATATTATATTTACAGAAATTGAAGGAAGGATCAGTTGAACATGGATTAAGCAAAGTTGTAAAGATACAGGCAGGTTGGGGGCCCAGGCAGCTCAACTCTCAAATGCTGCACACTGATTCTGACCTTATTAACAAAACAGGAAACATTTGCTTGTGGATGTTTTCAATAAAACTTTATTTATTTATTTATTTATTTATTTTGGTTTTTCTTCGGTACCGGGAACCGAACTCATGACCTTGCGCTTGCCAGGCAGGCGCTTTTGCCGCTGAGCTAAATCCCCAGCCCAATAAAACTTTATTTAAAAAAACAGACAGTAGCCTAGATTTGACTCTCAGGCCATAGTTTGCCGCATTGTCTCACTTTAGCCCAGTCTCAGCATCTGGTGAATGTTACGGTTTCTTTGAGTAAGGGAACTGCAAGGCTCATGAAGGAGAAACCATCCAGTGCTTCAGTGGTTCTAACACCTCACTTCTCTTTTACACTTTAGGGCAAAATGATATAAAGTTGATCTTTTTGCCAAGCGAATTTGGATTAGTGAAAGCAGTTTGTAATCTCCTTTAAAACGAAAGGCTCTGGCAGTGTATGATCAGAAATTCTTACACCATAAATTTGTACGATTTTTGTTTATCAGTTAAAGGAGGAAGCAGTCTTTGGGGAGTAGACTCTTGTTTTAATTTTGAGCCTCGATCCTTGCTTTGTGGCCTTTCACTATCTTACCCCAACAGGCTGGCTGGAATAGGAATAATGTCACTGCACACAGGATTGTAGAGGCTTCTTTAGAACCTGGGAACTCTGACCTGAAGCTTGTCTGCCGTCAGAGCAGAGAAGAGGCCACTCCAAAGAAAAATGGTTCACGACCAGCTTGCTGTATGCACCAGATTCTAATGGCACTTCCCAGCCCATCGCTTGAACGTGCAGTTCTATAAACCAATTGGAAGAAGTATTTATTCATTGGTGTTGGTTTCAAATGGATACTGTATGTCCATGATTTATAGAAAAATAGGGTAATAAATGACTGTGACTTTTGCTTCACTGAGAAAAATCTGACAGTTAAAAATTTTTTTTTTTTGTGAGGATGGAATTGGGAGAGATGAAAGAATGAGAGGGAACTGAATTTAGCAGAAAAAGAGAAGTTGTTTTCCTGGAAGAGGATCCTGCCTATGCCATGTAGCACTACAGGTGGAGTGGTGACTTGGCTGTCTACTGGGTGCTCATGTTGAGTTAAGGGGAGACAGGTGTTTGCAAAATTGTGGTCTGAGGGCCGAATTCTGGCTGCTGTCTGCTTTTGTAAGTAACGTTGTGTTGACATACTGTCACATGCACTTACTTTGTCAATAAAGTTACGGGCCACTTGTTCATATACGTGTCGCCTTTCGCTGCTTCTGTGTACCAGTGGTAGTAAGGAGAGGTTGCAACAGATTGCAATAGCCCAGTAGAGGTAAAGCGTTTATGATTTGGCCCTTTACAGGAAGTTTTCAGACCTTTAGTTATAAGAAAAGATTGGTGAGGTCACTTTTATAAAATATTTCTTTGTGGAGACAATAGGCTGGATGTATCACCCGGCAGTGGAGAGGTAACCGTAAAGTGCTGGTGAAAATGTCTTTTAAATCACCCTCTAAATGTGGTACATAGCCATTAGCTTTTTTTTTTCTTCAAATTGACAGAAACCTGGACACACTCAGTCCTCTGAGTCAATGTAGCAGAGTTTGGGAACTGGCATTTTAAAAGGCTTAAGCCCAGTAATCAGGCAACTTTGGGAAACACTAGCTTGGAAAATACCAAGTTTTCACAAAATGCTCATTGAATTACTGGGAGGTGATGGAAACTTTAGGAGGTGGGCCTGGTGGAAGGAAGATGGTTTTTGGCAGAGAAGATGGTTTTGGGAGAGGGGAGAATGCCCTTGAAGGGAATTTGGGACCCTGGCCCCTTCTTCTCTCTCTCTTTTCATCCAGTTGCCATGAGGTCACAGCTTCCTCCACTATGTGCTCCCACTCTGATATACTGTGCTGCCACAGGCCCAATGCAATAGGGACACATGACCATGGGCTAAAATCTTTGAAACCATGTGAGCCAAGATAAACTTTTATTTATTTAAGTTGACTTATCTCAGGTATTTGTCACAGGTACAGAAAGCTGAATGACGCACAAACATGAATTGCTGAAAAGAATGAAATAAAAATTAATACATTCCGTACTACCGAGAAACATACTGTTAATCTGTCAGGGCTTTGAGGCATACACATGCCCTTTCTGGATTGAGTTAGTATGATTCTACTGCATTTTTAAAATACCATGCAGTTATTTTGGACTTCAGTTGTGGGAAGGGATTTCACTGGGGTTTGGGATTTGTTGCTCTTTTGAAAATATTTGGATAAGAAGTCAAGAAATACATCATTGCTCCTAAGGGACCAGAGGAGTTGGTAAATAACAACGACGATTATGAAAATGTTGAGTTTATATTATCAGACTCCAAAGAGCACAGTTAGACTGTTAAATATACTTTTTGTTCTTTTCTTATTTTTTGTCAAATTATCATTTGTAGCATCCGTCACACCTCTCTTGATGTCATCTTTGATGTGAGGATGTAGCCATCAGTATCACACCCCAGAACCACATTAATGGCTCCGGACAGTTCTCTGTGATAAAGAGATGCTGCCTCTGCTAAATGCTGCTGCCAACATCATAGAAGGTGAGATTTTCATTGTGTTTCATGTGCAACTGTCACTTTTTATCTCTAGAAGGTTCTGCAATAGCGTTCATGAGCAGTGCAGAAGAGGAAGGAAGGGGCTAGCTCAGTCTAGGTCTTTCCATTCTGAGCTGTCAGATTCATTGGGATTCTGTTGCTTCTCATCACTGATTGCCTTGGCAATTTTGACGTCATCATCAGCTTTCTGAAGGCAGACCCAGGAGGCTGGTTTGGGAGCTACACAGATATATGGTATCCACTTCCCTGCTGGCACATAAGATATTATTAACAACTTTGATTTCTTAGGGTTGAATAGACATCATTTAAAAAGATGGCTGATGTCAGATAAATGAGGATGCTGGGTCACTGCAGAAAGTTACAGCTTTGTTTCCTTTAGCCAAAAGCTGAGAGTCACATTTGTTCTTCAGTAAAAAAAAAAAAAAATCAATTAAATTGTTAATACAGAATGCATCTTCCCATAGTTGAAATAGCATGAACCAAAGATGAGAAAACCGAATCCTATTTAAGTCCTTTATACTATAATTATCTTTCGTCCTTCAGCTTGTATGCAAATTTTCTGAGCCTCAGTTTGCTTATCTGTCCAATAGGGATGACATCATTGACCATGCCTGTCCTATAGCATTGTGTGGGCGATGAAACTGACATAGTAGGTGTGAAATTCATTTGACAAGTTACAATGGATTATGCAAGTTGATATTATTCACCATAAAATAGCATTAAAACAGTTATGAATATTCCTGGAAACAGTAGGTTTGTAGCTGGGTATGGTGGCACCTACTTCTAATTCCAGCACTCTCAGAGGCTGAGACAAGAGAATTGCAAGTTCAAACCTAGCCCAAGCAATTTAGCAACTTAGTGAGACCCTGTATCAAAATAAGGCAGGGCTGTGGTTGTAGTTAAATGTTAAGGTCCTGGGTTTAAATTGTAGTACTGCAAACAAACACACAAACAAATCCTGGAGATAAATGCGACTGTTTTAATTGTGCGAATCCACGCAACTTTATTGCTGTGTATATAATAACAAATTAGCCTTCCATTCATCTGCTCAAAGAATGATGCTACACCCTTTTGTTAATTTAATATTTTTAAAGTAGTTTTAGGTTTACAGGGAAAAAGTGAGTAAAAACCAGAGTTGGCATATATTTCCTCACCCTTCTTACACATAATTTCTCCTTTCTTAATGTCTTGAATCATTATGGTGGATATGTTACAGTTTATAAGTCAATGTTAATACTTATTAACTAAATACTCTAGATGATGTTAGGGTTCACTCTTTGATTGTAAATTCTGTGGGTTTTTACATATCTGTGATGACATGTATCTCCCATTACAGTGTCCTACAGAATATTTTCACTGCCCTAAAACCCTCTGTACTTTGCTTATTCATTCCTTCCATCTTCCTGAACCCTTGGTAGCCACTGATCTTTTATTCTCTCCATAATTTTACTTTTCCCAGAATGTCACATAGTTGGAATCAGCGTACTGCCTTTGCAGATCCGCTTCTGTGACTCAGTAATATCCACTGAGGATCTTCCAGGTCTTTTTTTCCCAAGGCTTGATAGTACATTTCCTTTCCTCCCTGAATAATATGCCATTTTCTGAATGTACTATAATTACATGTGTATTCACCTATTGAAGGTCATCTTGATTGCTCCATCTTTTGGCAATTACAAATAAAGGTGGTATAAACACCTGGGTGCAGGTTTTCATGTGGACACGAGGTTTTTCAACTAATTTGTGAAACGACCATGGAGTGTGATTGCCCCATCCTATGGTAAGAGTACATTTAGTTTTGTAAAACTGTCAAATTTTCTTCTAAAGGGGCTGTACCACTTTGCATTCCTACTAGGTGTTTCCTGATTTTCTGTTACCCCTCACAAACCTTTGATGTCAGTATTTTGAATCTGACCATTCTAATAGGTGTGTCATTTTATTTTAATGTATAATCCCCTCGTTACCTATGAAGTTGGTCATGTTTTCATAGGCTTGCTGGTCATCTGTCTTCTTTAATGAGGTGACTGGATCGTTTGCTCATTTTTGATTGAGTTGTTTGTTTTCCTGTTGTTGCATTTTAAGACTTATACGTATATTTTAGATATCACTCCTTTATCTGACGTACATTTTGCAAAGATTTTCTTCCAGCCTGTCGCTTGTCTTTGTGTTTGCACATCATTGTTTATTTTTGAGTATTAACTTCAACAGCATGGTCACACTCTTTCTAAACGCTCTTGGCATCCAAGTTTGCAATTGTTACAAAGGTTGAGAAATCCCAATGCTCCAATTATCATTTTATCATTAACTCCTTTTGTGTTTGGCTGCGTTTGTAGACTGGATCAAGTCATCAAGCCCAACACAGGCTCAACCTCAAACCTCACGTTCTTAACAGGGATCATCACTGCTGTCATCTGAGAGCTGGCCCGCAGCCTGTCCAAGTTGGCTAGGTCTGGCTGAGCTTATTGGAGCGGCTGACATTTTTGCTGACTAGTGTCATGCTGTCTTTGCCAGTTTGCTGGAATAGACACAGACACCGATTGGGTCACGCTGAAGACATTCCTGTCTTGTGAAGCAAGTCTGTTTGTATTTTAGGTTTGCCAGGACTAATGAATTAAAACGTTTGGACTCTCCACAACTTGCTGTTTATCAATGCCTCTGACAGGAGGAGGGTTTTCTTTTGCTCTTGCTTTTTCTAGAAACATGACAACATCCTGGCTGCTGGAGAGGTGAGGAAAGGAGAGAAGGGTTGTGGAGGGAAGCGGAACAGGGAGGTCCCGGGGGACGCTGGGGTCTGGGGCAGAGCAGGTAGCAGCGCGCTGCCTGACAGCTGTCCCTGCTCCTCAGCGTGTCAGGGGCTGTTATGCAGCAGGTGCAGCCTGCCCGCTCCCCGAGTCTTTACTCCACAAAGGCAGCGGCTGGCCAAGGCAGCGGCTGGCCCTGGATTACACAAGTGCAGACACTCAACTAAGTGAGGTAAGGCAACAGGTGTGAAAACCGAACTAAGTGCTTGCGGCTCGGCAGTCTAACCACAGCTTCGTTCCAGCCTCCAGCAGAGAGCGGGAAGCAGTAGCCGGTTTCCCAGGTGGTGTGATGAGAAGGCAAGTTGCTTTAAGGGGCTGTTGTGGTCGAATCTTTGTGGAACGCGGAGTCCGCGGTCTCCACACCATCTTTCGGAGGCAGACAGATACTTTCTGTCTTGCTGAGGGACGGGATGTCATTTAACTGTCCTCCCCAATTCCATTTTCTGTAGCTGGAAACTGCACCAGAGAGTTATTTACAAACTCCAGAGGCAAATTCCCACCTTTCCTGCTTTATTCCTTGTTGCAGAAAAGTGTTGGGAGATTTGCTCGAAAAGGCAATGAGCTTTACATCTTTAGATGTTATGATAAAGTGGTTTGGAGCTTGTCTAATGCCAAACAGAAAGACTTTTCTTTTTAGCTGAAGCTTCAGGGAGTTTTGATTCTTTGTTTGGTTAAATTTGAGATGGTCTGTGCTCTCTCTCCAGAAACAGGTGACCAACAAAATGCTTCATTCTAAGCAGAAGAAACTACACGAAGCATGTGATAGTTATAAAATAAACCCTCAGTCAAGTAACAGTGATTTTATATTATCTTTTCTTCAAATGTTTCAAGTTATCATTTCTTTGTAACTGCGAATGACAGAGAGAATGGAGGGCTTACGGATTCATTGGTATTTGTGGTCTTACATGAATGGGCTCAGTATGATCCTAACTGGATGATTAAACTATTGCTAATTTTTCTCCAAAACTATCCTAGGTGTTTAATATGAGCATGTTTTCTTTCCATGTACTGGGTACGATGATTCCAAATGTATGTGTGTATAAATAGATCTCATATGTATATGCATTGGCTTTGGCTCTGTAAGTATTATAAAATAAAATCCAGTGTTCTGGACACTATTTTTGGATACATAAAAGTTATGGGAAAAAGTCAAAAGCCTTGTTATGTATGAGAAAACGTCCTGTTACAAGCAGTTCCCAGAATCTTGCTAAAGATGGCTAAAGGGATTATTTATATTTTGCCATTTTTAGAGACATTTCCCTTAAAATATCATTCAGGTCTTTTGGTTTGCTGTCTAGATGAGGAGATAGATAGTGTAGGGGAAGCAAGATCCAAAATAGAAAAGTTAAATATGTGTGTTTAAATAACAAAGATATCATGTATTTATAATATCTTTTCATGGTTCAGATCCACAACAAATTACCAGATATCTTGGGTAAAGTGTAGAGTGTTTGGGCCGAATTATTTTATGACACAGGAATAGTCATGCATGTTTTTATGTTTCCATCTCCTGTGTAGTGTGTTTTCCCATTAATTCAAAGTTTATTAACAAAATGATAACTTAATAGATAGAATACAATGCCTATGGGATGTTTTAAAGCTTTATCTTTTGCTTTTATCATATACTGTTAAGAAGTAAAGCCATAAGTAAAAATATTTGCTAGATTTATAAGTAGTCAGATATTTCAAGCAAATAATTTTCATGATACCACTGCAGGATATTTTAAAATGGTCTTTGGTATTCTTTTTTTTTTTAATTTTAAAAATAAAAGGAGGAAAATACTAACAGACAGACAACATTTTACAAAATAGCAAAGGATCAGTACAGACATTACAGAGTTACAAACAGAGTGGTAGGGAATTAACAATGCTTGTTTTATTACATATTGATATCCTCAAAGTGGTTTCTCATGAAAACAGATCTAGACATACAAAGCTGATCAACCAAGGACTCATTGACAGTTTCTTTCAGCAAGGAAATACAAGACAGTAGAACAGCCATGTTAACTATCCTGCATATACATACATACAAACTTTCTCCTTCTTTCCCTTCTCTTTTCCCATATCCCAGTTACCCTTTACCTTTGAGTGCTTTCCTATCAATTCACAATGTCTATCATATCTCCTAGTTTAAATTAACTCTTTCAGGCTTTACACTAGAGAAACAATGCGGTGCTTGCACATGTATGTTTGATTTATTTCACTTATGAGTATGGTCTCTAGTTGTGACCACTTACCTATAAAAGCCTTGAGTTTATCTTTCTTTACAGCTGAGTAATATTCCATTATATATGGTATTCTTTAAATGGTCCCATGATATTAATTCTTTTGTCACTCTCAGATTGATAATTTGGCTTTGATTTAGACTTTTGAGCATGAAACGACAGACTAATCCAAAGCTTCCTGATACACTCTTAAAGCTATATCTTTTCTTTTTCCCCCTTCAATTAAAAATAAAACACTACTATATGTAACCTTTAAAGCTGCGACGGACTGGGGAACTGAAAAAGTGAGGTCGGCAGAAATTTTTGCCACATTTCATTCATTCCAGATGTGTATTGCCAAAGTGATTTTTGTCTAAGCCAGAAAAAGATTTTTAAATGGAGCCAGTGAATAATTTTGATGTAGGAAGGTTACTAACTTTCCCTTTGAATTCCTGAAGGCTTCTAAATGGAGACACGATGCTGGGGAAGGTGACAATGGCTTTCTCTTGTCCTTCTAGCTGGAAGACCCAGGAGAAGGCCGGGCCCCAGGTGCCCACATGATCAGCACAGCAAGGGTACCTGCGGATAAGCCAGTACGCATCGCCTTTAGCCTCAATGATGCCTCAGGTACACTGTGCTTTGGGGGAAAGGGCTGCACCCCTCAAATCCCCCCTTCCCACCGTCTTCTCTAATTCCACAGAGGATGTTTAAAATTACATATTGCATGACTCCGTAATAAAGGATATGATATTTCATCATGCATTTAAAATTTTTATTTTATTTTATTTTATTTATTTATTTATTTTTTTGAGACAGGGTCTTGCTATGTAGTTCAGGTTGGCCTTGAACTCATTATGTAACACAGGCTGGCCTCAAACTCAAGCAGATCCTCCTGCCTCAGCCTCCCGAGGGATCATCAGTGCTGGGATCATCAGTCCTCCCTTATCTTGTGTTGGTTATTTTATTCTTGAGTTGGTTGTTTGCTTCTTTTTATGTCTTTTCCTATTTTAACTTTCTTTTACAATGAGATTCATAGAGCTGTAACAATTTCTAAGGATAGCAAAGCATGTCACTGTTAAAACTGCATGAGGAAATGTTTATTGCGAATTGGCAGGTGGTTAGATAATGCCAAAATACCTCTGTACCAGTTTCAGCAGCATTTGTTGAAGCCTAAGTTCAAGCCGCTCGTTCCTCACTGACGCTTCCACACTTCCGGCTAAATAAACACCTTTCAGCAGGAGTGATGAATGGGACAGGTGAGGTGGGGCCCTCTGGAAATAGTAGGGTCTGAGGTGAGGCTGCCATTCTTGGAGCTCTCCGTCATGGCTCCCCTCAGTGACCTCTTAACATACATATCAGGTTGCACCACCTTTGAACAAGGGACCTCATGTGGTGAGAGGTCACAGTGGTGAGGAAAGAAACTCTTGGCTTCCTTCGCCTGGCGTTCGCCATTGCTCCTAGTTTAACGCCATCTGTTAAAATCACATGCTCAAGTACTATTACCATTCAAACCACTTCAGTTCTTTTCAGGACTGGTTTTCACTCACTCTCTCTCTCTCTCTCTCTTTCTTTCTCTTTTTCTCTCTCTCTCCCTCCATCTCTTCCTCCCTCCCTACAGTGCCCATGTTGGGGTGATGACTTAAAAATTAGTGATGGAAAATGAACAAGATCACTCCAAAATAACGTGAAGTAAGGAGCTGGTCTCTGTGTAACTTCTGATGTGACTCAGTTAGTATGGACTTGGAGTTATGACACCAGGAGATTATAGGCGACACACCTACCCTGGAGGTTTCTAGACGGTATAGCCCCCAGAGAGGGGTGTGGTCAAGAGCAGGAAGAGATAAACTCTGGACCTCCATGGTCTACTTACCCACCACTTTTCCCATGACCTGCTATTGTACTATGTCACTGGGGGTCATTTGGGGGTCACTGTGTAAAACAATAGTGAGAAGAAATCATCCACCGGACAAATCGGTTCACCCTCACATAGAAATGCCATTAATTACTCTTCTCCTTCAGAGTAGTTTACCCATATTATTTGTGATCCTCAGATTAACTCTGCAGCACAGGCATGAGAATTCCCTATTTATGGAGGCAAATACTGAGGCTTAGAGACCACACTGTTAGTAAGTATTGAGTGATGATCTAAATTCAGCCTTGGAAATTTAAGGTCCCTTAATTATCCCATCTCACTTCTCTAAATGCAAAAAGAAAAGCCCTTCAAGTTTTCAGTGGGATTTACAGATCCCCAATTTATTGTCAGTGCTCAAGTAGCTACCTCTCAGCAAACACACACACACACACACACACACATACACCCCTGCAATCCAGGGAGAAAGGAAATGAGTACTTTCCTTTCGGCAGCTTGTGTCCTCTATGAGCAGAACAAGTCCCATTATAATGAACAGCTGTACACAATTTTTTTCAGTATATAAACTTTGCTTCTCCCAATGCTACTATGTCATAATTTTTGACCAGACAAATAACTGCACTGTATCAGAAAAGAGCTATCAAGAGGCGAGTCTGGATTTTAAGCAGCATGAATAAACTCTTCCTTGAAGTACAAGATGTACAACTTGTAATTCATTTGCCACTGTCCCTGAACTCACTTGATTTCTGAGTGGGAGCTTTTGTATGTTTTTCATCAGTGAAATTGGACTAATGTTTTGTGGTCTTTTTCTTTTCCCTTTCAAATGCCTCAAGAATGCCCACTTTTGAAATTCATGCTTCTTAATAAGTAGCTTTAAAAAGTGGTTATAATTTATTTTGAGTAATTCTTGCCATCTAGCTGCACAGAATGATGCTTGTGAAGATGTATGAAGAACCTACCAAAGTGACATATTTTTATCTTATGATCCATCTTCGTATCTCTGGAAAGGGCGCTTACCTAAAGAATCTAAGGCAGGAGCTGGGGCTTAGTGTCTCTGGCGTGATTAAAATAATCATCTGAGAGCAGTCATCAAAAACACATGTTCAAAGGTCCCATTTGTGTACATTCTTATCTGCACATCAAGGAAGATCATTGCTTCTTTATGAAAGAAGAGAAAACTTCCACCTGTGCATAGGAACGACATAAATGTAAGATTTCAAGGACAGCCAGGGCACAGAACTCCGGACTTTTCCATGTACGTGAAGTTGTGAGAATGCAAAGAGATGCTTTGCAGATATTTAGGGACACTCCCTCTGAATTCTTGAAGAGCGAGCATGTGGAGTGTCACAGGGAGTAACACTTGCAATCATACAAGCCGTGCATGCCTTTTGAATTCCAGTGCATGTGACCAGCAGACCACACATTTAGGGGCTAAATATCCCAGATTCTCGTAATAAATAAGGAAACTAAGTTAGCCTTTTAGGGCAGTAATTCTGTATTATTGAATTTATTGTTAATGAATAAGCACAGTCCAAGAGAAAATGGAGATAGTTTTGTTTGTGAATGTTAATATGCTCATTTCTTGAGCCTAAATTAGTGCTGATTCTCTCCATTCATATTCTCTCTCTGTCTCTGTCTCTGTCTCTCTCTGTCTCTGTCTCTGTCTCTCTCTCTCAGATAATCTTGAGATGATTTAGTGTAGAAGTTAAGGGTAGGCCTTTGGAATCAGAGAGGCATGATTTCCAGATTCATCTTCATCACCAGTTATATGATCTTGCTTCAGGTCTTGCAGTCTTGCTGGAATTCAGTTTTCCATAAAATGTGTGTAACAGTAGCTCATGGGGTTGCAGTAAGCATGAAATACATTACAGATGAAGCATTTAGCAAATTACCCGACTCAGATTAAGCACTTCTCTTGTTCTTTGATCATGATAACCGAGTGTAGAGTGTTAAGGCAAACGTGTACACTAAACACGTGTGTGTTCCACCTCCATCTCACCCTTCTACTTGATGTCAGCTTAGATTTTGTAGTGCAGCTGATCTGCAGGTATTTAGGGATTTGTTTTTTAGTCAGTAGACTGTGTCTTGCTGCTCCTCTAATCATCAGCTGGCCTTTATTTAGTCCTTTTGTTTCCACCATTCTGCCCAAGGTGGTGAGATGTGCAAAAGAGGGGTGCAGAATAATCCCTCCTACAGGTTTTACGAGGCAAGGAAACTGGAAGAGAAGGCTGTGTCATTCAGAGCAGTTGTTTACAGCTTCTGGGAAGACATGATAACCCAACTGGGATTGAAGGCAGGTAGCCTATAGAAAGGCATCATTTCCAGGCACCAGTTTATAAAAAAGAGTGGTACCTAAGTTTTTAAAACCATTTTTCTTCCTAAATAGCATAGGCAAAATCTCAGAGTCAGGAAGAGCATGTTATATTCAGAAAATACTAAAACTATAGCCATTTGGAATAGAAAAAGTCTGAACTGTGGAATCATCTCATGCCTTGAGCCATGCATTGTGCTGGAGACTTATACTGACCACCCGGACAGAGAGCAGGAGACTGGAGTTACTGAGCTCATCTTAGAAGTTCAGGAAAAGTGTTTATATTTGGTCAGAAGCGAGAGAGTTTCCAAAGTCTGTAAGTAAGGGAGTAACATAATGAAAATGGTACAAATGTTGTGAAATAGGCCTGAATGTACACAGATAGGAGAATGGAAGAGGCTTTTTACATAGTCCAGAGGCAAAGTGATGAGAGCCTGGATTTGAGAATTAAGCGAGATGGCTGGATGTAGAGCACATTCTGAACGAAAGGTTGAAGGAACTTGGTGGCAGGATGGACTTAGTGGGTAGTCGTTCACTGATAGCAAAATAAACCATAAAACTCCAAATAAATTAAGGATATCTAAGGTTTTAAATAAAGGAAGCAAAATTTTGTGCAAAAAATATGGTCATTTAAGGTATAATTACCGTCTTTAGCCCATTAGGACAACACTTCATTAAGTGGTACTTAGCTATTTGTAATTCCTGGAGGCAGAGATGCTTAAATATCCACATGACCTCCAAACCAGGAATTCCATACAGTTAACTTACAGAACTAGAAATTCCAAAGAACTAGCTTCCTATTTCTATAAAAATACACTTAGAAGAGGAATATCCATCCCACTTCTTGGGTTATTAGAGAATCACCAGGCTTTTTTCAGTTAAAGAGAATTTAGAGTTGGGTGGACATGAGGATTTCATAATAATTATTTTATCTAAAAATTCTTTACCTTCATCTATGCTAAAATCCGGCACACTCATGTAAGTTTAGACTTCCCTTTCCTCCTTCTCTTCCTTTCCTTCCTTCCTTCCTTCCTTCCTTCCTTCCTTCCTTCCTTCCTTCCTTCCTTCCTGTAGAGGGTTCTGGTATCAGCACACATTGGTAGCTCTTAACGTTTTTAAAAATTCTTCCAAGCTATTCAAATTTTCCATATCTGGCACAAATTAATCACAGGACATTTGGGTTGAAAAAACTCAGGACTCACTCCACTGGTGTCACTTTTAAATCATACAATTTTCTCTGCAAATATCAAGGTGTTTTGTATGACAGTGGGAATTTTATAGAGTAGCTGAAATAATCAGCTTTTATTTTTATATTTTATTTTATTTTATTTTTTTTTGTTTTTCTCCAGTACCGGGAACCGAACTCACGATGGTGCACTTGCCAGGCAGGCGCTTTGCCGCTGAGCTAAATCCCCAGCCCCAATAATCAGCTTTTAATCTAATTTA